TGGCGGCCTTAGGCCAAAAGGGGAGAGACACCCTGCGGGGCTGGCCGCGGCTGCTAGCCCCTCCCGATACTGGGGGCTGATCGCCGCTGCTAGCCCCGGGGGGTGACAGACCAAGGGGTGGGGAGGAACTGATGACCCTGCGTAGCCTGTCTGGGGGCACCTTGGGTGATCTGGAGTGTCTGTGTGCGATTTGCTGCGTGCACCAGGTGTCGTGGGTCTTGGTAGTGCTCGGGTTGGTGTCCCTGTAAGTACTGCTTGATCCCAGGGAAATTTGCATAGTCTTGCATTTGCTAAGGTCGAAATAATTTAATTCTGCTTGTCAAGTCTGGACCATAGTGCTGATGGCTTAAGAATTCTCTGCATTGCCCTTCAAGATAGAGCTGGAGAAGAGCCAATATTCGGATCATGAAATCCGCAAGATGGAGGAGGAGGAGCAGCTCAGGAAGAGGAGGGAAAGTACATTTGATGATGATGGAGCACCTAGCCAAACAGTCATCATGGCTCAAGACCTGGAGGAGAAGTGGGAGCAGAAGTTACTGCGATTCGAAGCTGCTCCGCGGATAACAGGTACAGGCTGAAGTCTGTGGTGGGTGAGAACACCTGGATTGTTTGCCAAACACAGCTGAGTGCAGTTCAGTAGAGGGAAGGCATTTGCTGAGCCTTTTTTTGGTTTAGAGTGAGTCTTGACTCTGTGTCAGCACTGTTAGCACATGAGCAATTAACTGGCTGATAAAGGACTCCGTGTTCCCATGCTGCAGAGATGTGTATGTTTAACCTTAACAGAGCAAAATAGTGAAAATGGATGTTGCTTCCAGACAAGAGAAATGTTTGGTCATTTGCTTCCCAAGCTCTACCTAGTGCTCTTGTTTTTTTTGTGAAGGTAGAGATCCAGGCTGTTTGCTATAAATTCCTTCTGGAAAAGAAACATTATAGTCTAGGAGTGGGTTCCAGCCAAATCCTGCATTGGCTTCCAGAGGTACTGAGAGCATTTCTGTCTAGGTTTTTGTCTTGTTCTGTGTATCCATGTTTGTGTATTATTGCCGGAAGGGTGTGAGACACAGAGGTTTGATGAAACAAGGGGATCAGAGCAGTGCTGCCAAGAGACTGTTTCCAGCATGTGTTGGTTTTTGGCAGATGCTGATAAAAACAACAATCGAACGTCGTTGAACAGGAGGCTGGACAGTAACCTGATGCTTCTGGTGAAACAGAAAATTGGTAACCAGGAGCTGTGGCTCCTGCCTCAAGTGGAATGGCAGCCTGGAGAGACGCTGCGCAGCACAGCTGAGCGAGCCATGGCTACGTTTTTGGGTGTGTAGTTTGCCTGGCCCTCCCTTCTTTTTGTTCCAGTGGTTTTCTTGCTGTGTCTTATCAGAGGACTGTTTGCCATCTCCTGTAGTAAAATCACCTCCCATCTGCTAGGAAAAGGCATTTCATGGCAGAGGGGTGGAGCTCACTGGGGTGGGCTTTCTGGCCAGAGCTGTGTTTCTGGGTAATCAGCTCTGTAACACAATTGCAGAGCGACTGCAGCTTGAAGGGCTGATGGGGCTGGCAGACAGTGAATTGGCATCTCTCGCTGACAAGCAGTGGCTTATGCTGCCTTTTTGTTACTACAGGAGAGCAGTTACTGTTGCTCTGTGTTCTTATGTCTTGTTTTCTTTCTCTTGCATTGCTCGGGTTTTGCAGGAGATCGCATTCAAGCCAAAATCCTGGGGAATGCACCGTATGGGATTTACAAGTATAAATTCCCCAGGGCCATCAGGACTGAGGATAACGTGGGAGCCAAAGTATTCTTCTTCAAAGCCTTCCTCCAAAGCAGTGATTTGTCCCAGGCAGAGCTGAAGGAAGATTACTTGTGGGTCACAAAGGATGAGCTGGGAGATTACTTGAAGTCGGAATACCTGAAGAAAGTCAATCGATTCCTTCTGGACTTGTAAGCGATAGGCTGTGCTCCAGCAGATGGAGAAAATGTGGGACACGACTCCAGGGAGGAGCACAGCTGCTGCTTTGCATGGTCTGTGCATATGAGATATTAACTTGGGCTCTGGAGGATAATTTGCCTTTGCCTTATATCCCAGTTCTCTTCATCAGGCCTGTACTGAATAAATATTAAAACTTACACTCGGAAGTGAAGCTCTCCTGAGGGAGTTCTTTGCTCTCATTGAATTCTCCTCCTCCACCTCTTTTGGAAGCATGTTGTGATCTTTTCCTCTCCCAAGTGTGCGATTCCCTGGGGGTGTGGTACCCCAGAGGCTCACTTTCCTCACTAGACTCCTGGCATAGTCTCAAGTTCAAATGGTTTCTTCGATGCAATGGCTAATGCTTGTTTCTGGTACCTGCTTTTTAATAAGAGCAGCACAGGAGAGTAATCCCTGTGTCCAGGTGGGAGCAGACCCTCCTGGACACACAGATGGGCAGGGTGGGTTTCTGGGGAGATGGAATATGGGATGTTCACAGTTTATTAACGTTTAATCTGCCTTGGAGCTGCCTCTGGCCTAGAGTCAGTGATTCATGGTGGCCATGGAGGACACGGGTGAGTGAGGAACAGGCAACAGCTCTTTCTTTAGATGAGTGCTGTTTCCCCACCCACACTGCCCTCCTCTTGAGCCTCAAGCTATAGCAAGGAGACACTGAAGGAGGATAACACTTGAGCAGCCGCTCTCTGTCAGAGCTATTAGGCTGATTTTTGTTGGCGGGGGAAGGCTGCACTGGTGTCGGTGCCTCCTGGGAGCGGCTTCAAAGGTGGCTCTGGGGAGTTCTCAGCTCCCATTCCTGGTGCATTAGGCTGGCACTGCTAACCCAACCATGTCTGCTTCAGGTAGCTTGACCCTATTAACCCAATTTATTAGATCTATCCTGAGCTTATATGGTGCTGTCTCACCTCTCTGGGGCTGGTTCTAGGAGGGATTTTTCTGGTTGTAAATGTTGCTGTTTAGTAAGTGTGAGCTCAGTGCTGTCTGGACCTTGCAGATTATCAGCCGCTTTCAGTGGCAGGGAGAGAGGAAGGAAATAGCTGTTGTTAATCACTGGGAGAGAGTTTGGCCTCCAGAGGTGGAACTGGAGATTGCTGTATGTATTTTATCAATCCTTTGGGAGCTGTTGAGCTGCAGGCCTCAAATTAAAGCTATCCTTAATCACTCCATAAGCCATTGGGTAGGGGGGTAGCACAACAGCCTTCTATTTCCTAATGCTGGGCAGTTTGGGAGCTGCAGGCTTGCTATAAATTACCAACGAAACAAAACTTGATCTCTTGAAGCACTCTGGCAGGCCTGGTAAGGAGGCTGGGTCTGCAGCAGAGAGCACTTGCAAAGAGGAGATAAATGCAGAGCTGAATACGTGCCTGAACAATGGCAGATTTTTTGGCTGCTGTCTGACATCAGCACTGCTGAAAGGGAGACTTTTGTGTTCTCCAGGACTGAAAGCTCCTGCAGATGGGAGAGGTGAGTCCCTCAAGCTGTGCTACACCAGCCTGGGGGGCCATGGGTGCAGTCAGCTCAGGATTAGGCTTTTCTCTGCCACTGTTTCAGGCTGTTGCTGGTTCCATAGCACACAGCCCCTGAGCAGAGCTTTGTGAGCAAAGGCTTAGGGTGTGCCATTTGCCAAGGTCTCTGCCCTGCTTCCCATGCAAAAGGCAAGTTTTGTGTTGATGGAATAAAACTTTCAGTGTATGTAAAATGGTGTTTAATCAGTGCTTATTTGTTCTCAAAACCAGGAGCACAAAAAAGAGAAAAGGCTGTACTGAAAGACTGCTGATCTTCAAAGCCAGGAGTTCTTACTCTGGCTTACTCAAGCCACAAGTCTTTGGGTGTTGTCTGTGCCAGGAGAGGTGTAGCTCCCTTCAGCAGTGGAAAGGTCAGAATCAGCAGCTACTGTAGTTTTTAAAAAAATTTTTTGTCCTTGGGCTCAGGCCTTTGGACTTACAGGTAGCAGGTGTGTGAGAAGCTTTGTTTTTTTCTGGAAGCTGAAAGGGTTTTCTCATCACCTAAACCACAAATTCCTGCTTGCAGCCTGCATAGGAACAGGGCCTTTTTTGATTTTTCCTGCAGTTAATTTTATTTAAAACAGCCAGTTACTGCAAACAATCCCAGATCATGCAACTTTTGTGCTTTTGCTTAGTTCTTCTGTGTGGCCTGTTCCCTCCTCTCTGGCCTCAGTGAGAGGGAAGGCAGAAGGATATGCAGGTTTCCTAGTGGAGAGCATTGTTTGTATCTTCTCGAGAATTTCCTCTCTAGTCCCAGAGGTCCCACTGTAGATCACTGAGGCTGTTATTTTCCTTTGAGAACTTGGTGGCTGCAGGCTGTCTTTCCACTCAGTGCAAAGCTATACCCATACTCATTGCAGAAGTCTGATCAGGCAGGCTGATTGGATGTATTTTGCCGGTAACTACTAAAAAGATAGCACAAAGCCTTAAAACCTTTTCTGAGGGAGCTTTTCTCTCTCAGAACAGAAGAAACCTGTTGACTTGTGATTGGGAGAGAGCTGCTGCAGTGTGCATCCTGTGCTCCAGCAGAAAGAGCAAGGGGAGCATTTCGCTTGTGTGAAGCACCTCCCCTGTGAGGACAGGCTGAGAGAGTTGGGGGTGTTCAGCCTGGAGAAGAGAAGGCTCCAGCGAGACCTTATAGCAGCCTCCTAGTACTTAAAGGGGTCTACAGGAAAGATGGGGAGGGACTCTATCAGGGAATATAGGCATATGACAGTTTTAAACTGAGAGAGGGTAGATTTAGATCAGATAGAAGGAAGAAATTCTTTATTGTGAGACACTGGCACAGGTTGCCTAGAGAAGCTGTGGCTGCCCCCTCCCTGGCAGGGTTCAAGGTCAGGTTGGACGGGGCTTTGGGCAACCTGGGCTAGTGGAAGGTGTCCCTGCCCATGGCAGGGGGCTAGAACTAGGAGATCTTTAAGGTCCTTTCCAACCCAAACCATTCTGTGATTCTATGAAGCACAAAACTCCCCTTGCAAATGTGTCGGAGAACTGCATGCAGCTTTGCCTGGGTGTTGAGGGATTCTCTTACCTTGGCAAAGGCCTCACACAAGATTTCTCTACTAGAACCTGGAGCTGCAGCAAGTACCTGGGAAGTCACTGAGTTTGCTGTGGCTCTTGAGTGCAAGGCAGTCAGATGAAGTAAAGAGCTCTCCTGTGAAGTGTGCACCGGAGAGATGTTTTGGAAAGGACCTGGGACTCCTCGCTTTGAGAGCAGCAATGTGGGGCTCAACTAAGAAGTCCAACATAAGATCAGTGCTGTGGCTGCTGGGGCCAGTGTCTGAGCATTATCTTCCCCTGACTGCACATGTTGGGGAAGAAGCTGGAGAGCAGTCAGACTGCAGAGACTGCTCCTCAAAGCCATTTTCAGCACAGGACGCTTCCATTCATGAGGTTGATACACAAAAGACAGATCTTTCCCCACTCCAGGGTGGAAGGAGGCATATCAAGATGACCTTTCTCTGGTGTGATGCAGTCCAGCAGCTGTTGCTAACAGCCTCTAGGAGCAGAAACAAATGGAAGCATCAGCTGAAGCCTAAAACACCAGCATCTAAGCTGTTGCTTAAGCCACCGTGTTAGAAGAGAGAGATGAAGGTTTTCTTTGTGACGAATTGATGCTAGCACTCCCCTCCAGCGAAGGAGAGATAACAAGCCCTAATAAAACCACTTTTCAGCTTCACGGATACAGCTTTCCTCTACTTCCCCAACAAAATACCTTCCGTAGCTGATAGTCCTCCCTGTCTGTGGGAGTTTTGGGGATCGGTGCTCTCTAAGCCGAGCTCTGCTCACATGTTTTGTGATACACCATGAACTGTTCAGAACCGCACGCTTTCTCGCATAATAGGAAGCTGCTGTATGTTGCTCCTCCTGGGTGGCTCCAAGCAACCAAAGGCTTCAACATTTGAAAGATAAATATATGCAGAGCCAGCAGAGGCCAGTGGAGCCAGGGGCTACACCGCTTCCTGCTCTCTGAAAACCTGTAGGAGGAGAGATGCTATTGCTCCCAAACACAACCGTGAGCTCATTAGAGCAGGGAGAGCTGCTTGGGCGCAGGGAGCACCCTGCTGCATCCCTCCCTGCCGAGGCAAGGGCTGGGCTGGCTCAGTGAGGGTGGGAGTTAGGTTGTCCCCACTGGGGCAGGCTGTGGGCTCGCTGCCTGTCCTGGAGGGTAAGGCATCTCCAGCAGCATCAGTCGCTTTTTGTTCTGTTCAAGCTCCTGTGATTGTGTTGGAAGGGATCTGTCTCTTTGGGTGGAATTTTTCTGGCAGTACCTGGGGTTTCTGCAAGCTCTGCCCATTCCTGCTGTGCTCAGCTGCTCACAAGGGGGATGCAGTGTGGGGTGTTCTGCTCGCAGCAGCCCAGAGACCTGGGATAAAATGGCTTGGAAAATCCTGTTGAGGTCACCAGTGGTATGAGTGGATTAGGTCTCGTCCTTTTGTTTTGAGGACACTTTTTTCCTTGTGAAATCACCACTGTGTTTTGACTTAACCAGCACATTGGAAGGACACAGAATGGGGCAGGCAGAAGACAACACTTGAGTGAATCTCTGCAAAGGTAAGAACAGATATAAAAGAAGGGGGGCTACTGGGAAACTTGGACTAGGGTAAAATTGCTCCTGAAGCTTTGCTGATAATACCCAACCTTTAACACCAAGCCCTAGAAAGTAAAGCCAGGAATTTGAGGTGAGTACAAAATGCTGACACCCCTTCAGACAGTTCTACCTACAGCTTTGCTGTCAAGGCTGCTCTTCCCTAACAGATCTTGGAGCGGTATAAAGTCCTTTGGCAGCACTTCATAGGCAATACTTGGAGACACGGGAGCATTTCTCAATTGAAATACGAACTGTTATTCAGCAACATTACAATGAAGATTCTTCAAAACCTAGTCAAGGCAGTAAAGCCTTTATGCAGCCTGTGCAAAGCTTTAGGACTGACCATCACAGCCTACTGCAGAAGCAGGACAGTGTGCTAGAAGGAGCTGGCCCTTTACATGACTACTGTGAACATCGAATCTCATAACTAACTGCGGAAAACTTTAGGAAAAGATTTTACAGCTAACAGTTTGCTGGTTAAGCAGCTCTCTGCTGGAGATTGAGGTGAGAGTTGATGTCAGAGGCAGATTGTCTTGTGTTCAAGGTTTGCTCTTCATCTCGAGTATCTGGGCAGAGGGAGGCTAGGGACGCTGCGGCACGAGGCACGGGCCAGCGCTGCTGCCGGGAGGACGGTGAGCAATGTCAAGGGTGAGTGTGTGTGCTGCTGGCCTGCTCCCACCACGTGCTGCCTGCCTGCTTTCTGCTCTCTCTCATCTATCAAAGTAATGATGCCCATTACATTTCTCCTTTCAGGTTTTACCCTCCCAAATGTTATTCCACAGCATTAAACCCGTGGGGGAAGTGAATTATTGGGGAAAGTAACTAGATATAATCCAAGTTTAATGGGCACATAGAAAAAGCACATTGGGTTGGGAGGGTGTCTCAGCCAGCGTCCTGCTTCTGCAGGCAAATAGAAATTTATCTTGATGTGTGTACATATATAGCTTCGTGATCTGTGAGCTCTTAATAATTGGTTTGGTGACCTGCCGGCAGTGTTCTCTCTCTGTAGAGCTTTCCCCAGTCCCCAGTTAATATAATGGGTCACAAATCCCATTTGCTTTTGAATTCTGAGTAATCCTTTTGTTAATGTTGCCTATTGCTTTTCTGGAAGCGATGGAGGAAATCAGAGCTATGGGCTAATCAGTAAATCTGGTTCTGCATGTTTGTAAGCCCCTGCCCTGCCCTGCTCGCTTTTTCCAAATGACAAGTGCAGCCCATTTGTGTCAGACCCAACGCACCCCTCTGCAAAACAGCAATTGTTTCCCAAGTCATGTTACTAGCAAATGACACGGGCTTCAAATGTTGGATGAGGTTGGGGAAGGCAGCGGAGGGTGATGGGGAGTGAGCAGCCAAGTGATAAGGGGCTTGGGAAGGAGGGAGTCTGGGCATTTGGGGTGTCTGATCCCACCAGTGCCCCGTGTGGAGGGGCAGGGAGTTCCCCATTTCATGGTTGCGGGATTGGTGACTGCTGGAGGAGGCACCCATGGGACACACTTTTCCACTCCTACTCCACCAGTGCTCACAGCTCAACAGCCAGTCTTGCCCCCTGCGCCGAAGTAGGGGATGTGGCACAGCAGAGGATGCCCATCCCATAGCATGCTAGAGGCTCCTGATCTAGCCGGGGCTGGAGGCAGTGAGCAGGATGGGTGTTGCCTGTCCCAGACCCTCCTGGATTTCATATCCTGTAGTTCTCTCACCCTGGAAGCAGGACTGTGGTGAGCTGTGGCTGTCTTGCCTGCTCTCTCCTGATTTTGTGGGTAGGTGGGTGTCAGAGCCCTTTCTGAGGGACAAGAAGCTGCCAGATGACCAGCCCTTAGGGTGGGCATAGATTTACCTCTACTAAAGTGAGGGGAGGGAGAGCATCAGCCCCCCAAATTTCATGAAGACCTGTAAAACACTTCACCTGCTGTTGGCGCTAACCCAAAGGCTACAAGTGACTTGTTGGGACTGTGTTCCTCCTGCAGTGGTTGCCCACGAATTGAACTGGGTGGGAAACTCCAGTAGTGTCTCCAAGCACCAGAATATCTGAGTCACAACATCAGTGTTTCCTGATTGTTTTTGTTTGTTTCCTGATTTTTCAGTCTCCTGCACAGCTGACAAGCCTCACCCTTCACCCCTTTCCCTCGCGCGTCGTTTGTCTCCCTATTTTTAGCCCGTCTGTGGCATTCTTTACGCAATGCCTGTGTGCACCACTTTGATCAGAGTTGCTGACAACCACACGACCTTGAAGGTAACAGTGTGCAGCCAGGCAAGATGTGTTGTGTTTAGTTAGCTTGCTGTAGCTGGGCGTCATGTTCGCAACCCAGGCAGGCATGCAGCACCACCTCCCCTCACACTCAGGCTGTTTTCTTTGACAGGCCCCACCCAGATTTGGACTATTTGACTCCAAAATCCTCTCCCAGGCCCTGGCCCAGAGTGAGGAACACGGTGGGAAACTCCCCAGCGCTGGGATCCTGATGTGCAAACGTGTCTGACTAATTAAGAGCTAACTTCACTTGAGGATGGAGGTGGATGGTACTTGCTGCCTGTGAAACAGCTCGGTGTTAGGCACTAGATGGCAGGCAGTGACTGGGAAATCCCATCCATGGAGCTTTCCTTCCCTTTTCCCTTAAAATCACCTCCTGCTCTAGCTCTTGCAAGCTCCAGCGTGGGAGCCTGGAGTAAGGATCACCATCTTTTAACCACTGTGCCCAAGCTTATGCCTTGCATTTTGAAGGATCCCAGCGACTGTCAGAGAGTTGTCTTTGCTCCGTGGAGGCTTGACAAGTAATTGGAGGCTCAAAGGAGTCTCTAGGGCAGAGAAAAGAGGCAGGGAGCAGGCAGGTAGGATCTGAGGATGGCGGGTGGATGCTGAGGGCAGCCCAGGGCACTGTGAAAGGGTTAGGGAGGGATGGGGTGCAGAAGGGATACGTGGTAGGCATAGGGGCAAAAAAATGATTGTAGGTGTTTGACACGGGCAAGGAGAAGTCAGGAAGTCCCTGAGGATGAATTTTGTATGGCCTGGCTGTGCAGCGGTTGCTTTGGAGAGGGCAGTGAAGGTGTTTCCAGCGGTGTCCAGGTTTCAGCTGCATGCTGTCCGTCACCTTGCGAGAGGGAGTATGGTCACCAGACCCTGGCTGTGTGGCTCAGTCACCAGGGAGGGACTGGTCCTCTCCCGAGGGTGGCACAGCATACCTTTGATTTACTTGGGTTGGGCTTTGGGGATTTATCCTCAGAGTGGGCATAAAAGTGGGTTTACCTAGAAGAGGGGATGTGTTTACCCCCCTACCCCAGTGATGCTGCATGGGCTCCCTTGCACTGTTAGGAGGAAAGAGTGGCAGCATCACTCCTTTATCCTCCCTTATCGGCCAGGAGTCTGAGTCTGAGGTGTCCCTGGGCCCTGCTGTGTGCTGCTCCCACCCCTATGAAGCTCAGGGCAAGACAGCCCCTGTGGTGCCAGGTGCCTGGCTGTCTGCTTCCCAGGTGCTAGCGCAGAGCTGCAGCCCCTGTGCCATGCTCTGGGTGTTGTAGGTCCCCTGTAAGCACCTTCCAACAAAAAGGGGATTATCTATAGCTTGTTAGAGTCCTTGCAGGGAGGGAGAATAAGGCTCTTTGCTCTGAAATGTTCTCGTCCCTGGGATTACAAGATAATGCATATGAAACGACATTAGCTCAGCCAGGTTTATGGATTATTTGAAAATCAAATTCTTTTAATCTCATCCACCATCTGGCACCAGTGTAGCAGCCAGCAGCCAGCTCACTGCCGCTTCCACCCTGACTGCGCTGAAGCGACTGGAGTATGCAAGCTGGCGAGGGGACACCAGCGTCCCTGGCCACCACCGTGTGTTCTGGCACCAGCACCCAGGTCAGCCTTGTCCCAGTTTCTTCCCCGGAGAGCGAGGAGGTAACACATCTCTGAGGATCTGAGGGCTCTTTTGGTGTGCACTGGGAATGAACAGATAGGCTGGGAACATCTCACTGCTTGTGCCTGTGTGACCATGAGACTCCAAACACCAGCCAGAGGGGTCCCCAGGCCTCAGATAAAGGTTGAAATCCGAGCAGGGAACCTGCCAGTCTCAGTAATGTGATTTGCAGTGATCTCCTGACTGGGCAGGGAGGGACGAGGGTGCAGGAGCTCCTTGCAGGATGCTGATGCAGAGCTTTTTCCAAGGAGGTTGTGTTTCCCCTTGAACGTTAATTGGGAGCTGCCAGGGTGCATCTGGGCTCTGTGATGGGGCTGGAGGCTCCTGTGGGTACCAGGGAGCCAGCAACAAGTTGTGCTGTTTCCAGGGGCAAGGGCAAGCGGGCACGCTGTCCCCAAGGAGCAGGGCAGGGCAGAAGAGCACTCGGAGATGTAGCATGGAGCACTCCTGAAGCACCACCATCAGCAGCACTGTGGAAGCCAACCTGGCTCACTCTCCCTGGCTTACAGGTCAGGGAAGAGACGGGACCAGTGAGCAGTCAGGGACCACCATGGGAAGCTGGGACCACCGTAACTGGGGACCTGAGTGTGTGAGGGGTGTGTGCTGAGCACTTGTCCCCACTCTGTGCAGTTAGCACCTCCCCCGGGAGGGGACAAGGTGACATCCCCTCCTTCTCCCAGGACTAAACCAATCCCCCAGCTGATTTTTCAGATGTGAAGCCAGCTGTGCTGCAGAGCTGCTTGGTTCTTGTGTTTTTGGTTTCTTTGTTGAGCCTCAATAGGACCATCCATCTTCTCCTGTCTCCTCCAGAATGCTTGTGCACCTACTACCAAGGAGTGCTATAATCTCAGTACCCATTTAACATGAATAAAAAGCCTTCTGGGACAATAGGTCATGGTTATACAATTTAATTCAAGTAGAGAAAAGGCCTTTATAGCTATGAATACATGAATACTTAAAATATATATATAACATTGGTTAACATCAGGACTTATAAGCATAATATATATATAGTACTGGGTTTAACAGTCTGTTCCTTGACTGGGCTGTAGCTGTTCTGCCTGTCAGCTCTGTCCCAGCGGTTCTTCGTGGCTGGAGTCACAATTTGCGCTGCTCTGCCCACTTTTGCTGGGCTCTCGGAAGGGAGAGCAGTGGTTATGGGCAGAGGGAGGCTGGGAAGGGAGGTCTATGGTTGCTCCTCGGTGGGGATGGGGATGTGAGAGGTGAGGATGCGGCACCTCTGCCTGCGGGTAAGGAATCACACGCAGAGCTGGGTTGGTTGCTGATGCACTACACGGCAGTTTGCTCCTGTTATTTGTCTGCCCTGAAGACAGTGGCATGCAAGAAAAAGAAAACCACAAACAAGAAGAAGAAAAATTAATAGCTTTAAAGAAAATAAAGTGTCATTTCTGTAGGTAATTAATTACTAATTATACAATCACAGCATTGTCTGTATCATTAAAATTGCTTGGTTTTTCAATACATTGTAGTTTTAATTAAACAAATCCTTAGAATTTTTTTCTCCTCCTTTGTAACACAAAGTCATTTTTTTTTATTAGTGCCAAAGAATAAATTAATTGTGTAATTAGCGACTATTACTTTGTCACTCCTGGAAGGGCTTTTTCCAGGTTGTATGTAGACAGTGGCTGGGGAATGGTTATGAAATGTTGTTTGGTACCAAGACTCCTTGGAAGAAGCTGTCTGTGGCTGGAGATGCTGGTGGAGGTGGGGATTTGGCAGCACTGGGATATAGCCAGAAAGAAGGGGGTGAAAAACTATGTCAGGGCTGGCCGGAGGAGGCGCTCTCAAGCACTGGCGGGTATCTGCTTGCTTACTTGCATGCCTGTGAGGAAACGTTTCATTTTGATGCGGAAATGCTCTCTAGAAGGCATCCTAAGATCCTCTAGAAAAGAAGCGGTAGTGAGGCTGCAGCTGCTTTCACGTACTCCCCTTGGTACAGGTGGGAAACTCCGGGGTAGGATTAAGTGTGCACCATCACAGTCATCATTACAGGGGGCTGAAGGCTGGCATGTCTGCCCCCTGCCCCACAATGTGTAGGGTACGCAGCAGATTCCAGACAGGAAGAGGGGAATTTAGCATGCAGCTAGTGATAGGGTCTTAATAGATCTGCACTTATTATTTAGAAAAGAAAGAATCAGGATTACAGGCTTATGAGGGATTAGCAAGCATGAATGCGTATTTCTGTGTATACTGCTCCTTTTGTAAACCTGTTGTGCCATTAGCCTGAGACAGAGTTATACCATTACTAGCATGACATCAGTGTATCACTCTTGATCATGAGATTTAGCAGCTGTACTAAGGAAAGCAGGGCTTTCCCACTGGCCTGCTGATTTTCTCCTGTTTGTAGCTCGTGGTTTGTCTGTGAAACCACCTTGATTTTCACCAGTAGGACAGACAACTTATGAGCATTGGCCCTGCCTCCTGGGCCCCCGTTGAAACGACCAAATTGATGCTTTAAATGTTTCACCTGCCCTCTCCTGGGAGTTTTAAAGCAGCAGAAGGAAAGTGGATGTATGAGGATCCTCAGGTGTCTGTGCACTCAGTTACAGCAGTGGAGAGAGGTCTTGGACTGCTCGGAGGAGCTCAGGTCACTCGTAGATGCAAGCATCTTTCAGTGTGGCTGAAACTGCATTTCTGGTTTTAGCTAAAGCACAAAAATATCCTCATAAAGGTGTTGTATCTGTTGGCTTCAAGTACTGCGTGCCCTCAAGGGCAGTAAGTTGTGAGGTCTCAGCTTTTGGAGTGCTGGATGTGTGTATGCTACCTGGAAATGTTAAGAAATAAGTGCAAATGTAGGTGTCTTCAAGAACCTGCCTGTACTTCACAGTCTGCAAGTTTTGACCCCGTGTAGCGGGCCAAATGGTCAACATGGGTAACGTAAGCAAACCGAAGCCCTTGGCTGTAGGCTTCCCTAGAGATGGACTTTGTAAGTATAATAGAGATGTGCTGAGCAGGAAACCAGGATGGCAAAGCAGGGAATTGAATTGTTATGAAACGTCAGAGCCTCTATGTGTGTGAGTGCAAGTTTTTGATTTTTACTAAATATTTTCCCCTTTAAATGAAACATTTTTATTTTTTTTCCCCAGACAAATGTAATATTAAGAGCCCATGTGTTTCTAACTAAATGGCAGCCTGTGCTTAGTAAACAATCTGGGGTCCAGTTTGGATGGGATCCCTGCGCTGATGTTTCTGGAAATCAAATAACAATCGAGCTAAGGCAACTTGTTCCTGGAGCTGCCCAAAGTTGTTTGCTGTCGGAGCCAAAGGGAGTGAGAGCCCCCGGAGCATGCGGGTCTGCAGGCAGCTCTGCGTGACAGCAGGAGGTCCCCGTGCTGCTCAGACTTGGCTCCTTTTCCTTCCAGTCACTGTACAGGACAGCATCCCAGGAATGATCCCAGCCCTGGGGGCAGCCTGCTCCATCCATGGGCTTCCCTTAGCACTGCTGCTCTTGTGCCTCCTACTTCTCCGTTTTACTTTGGGAGTCATTTCAGCAAGGAAATTTGGCTTTTCCTGCCTCTGTGGTCCACAAAGGCTAGATGCATCCACCTAGTGCATCCCACCTCCACAACAGGAGAGAGAGCATCCCTCCACAGCAGGCAGAACGGGCAACCTGCTGGTGTGCTGGTCCCTTGGGCAGCCACTTCGATTTTGACTCCTCGGTGCAGGTTCCCTCCCCTCCTGTTTACTGATTTCCTGCAACACCACTTGCATCCTGACACTGGGCACTTTGGACTTGAACTGGGACCAGTTCCTTATTTATCCTGTCAGAGTCGTCGTGCTTTTAGGGCTTAGATCACTTTTAAGTGTGGGATTCCAAAATCACTTGGAGTATTTGAAAAATGGTGCCTGGTTTTGTTTTTGGTTGGTTTTTGTTTTTTTTTTTTTTCTCTCCATTGGAGTGTATATCTGTGGGGCTTTTGTTATTTTTTCCTTATTGATGTTTAAAATTTCTTTTGGCCATAATTTCTTTTTATGATGTAAGTGTTCTGACAAACTTGACCCTATGCTGCAAAGCAGTTCTGCATGAATGAACGAGGCAGGTCAAGCAATCTTCCTCTCCTGTTCCTTCCCCTGAAGTAAAAAATGACCCTACAACCACAAACCCGGTGCGTAGAACCCAATACACGCAAGAGACCCTACAGTAACAAACCAATGTGCACATAACCTGCTGCTGAGGAGCACTGACATGGTTTCAAATGTATCAATGCTCCTGCTGGTGTGTCCTTTCCGAGGGCATCAGCGTCAGCAGTCCTTTTAGCTGTGAAACAAGGAGAATGATTCATGAACCATACAGACGCAAGTGGTGTCAGTACTTCGATGGTCCATCAGGTTTCTAATCTGCGTCAGCAATAGCAGGGGTGAAGACGGAAATGAGAACGACAACCCAACCTGAATTTGAGGGAGAGAGGGCAAGTGATATGGAAAGTAAAGCTCCCTCTGAGCCTGGGTCCCCATGCCTTACCAGACACGTGCTGCAGGGAGACCCAGCTCCACAGACCTTCAGGCATGGGCTGTTACTGTCATTTACAGATATGAAAAACATCAACTCTTGACATGCTCTCCAACGGGCTCCAACTTTTCCTCTGCTGATAGCCTGAGAGCACCTTCCCTGTTTGTCTCTGCACAGGCATTTGGGGGACTGATTCTTGTGGGCTGGCACCTCTGTCCTCCTGGGTTTGTCATGAATATTGTGTCTGCTGGTACAAAAAACCCTCCACGAGCCACAAGCAGTCCTTACGCCAAGAAAGCAGATGAGAAGGCTGGTAAAAGCAGACTTAAGATGCTGTGAACCCAGTTGTGATGATTAATGGCTCTTTTTATGTGAAGATGCTTAGAAACTGACATTTTCTGAAGAAATGAGAGTAAAATCTTTGGAATAGACTCGGAAGAAGTGTTTAGGTAGTGTTTGGGTTTTTTTCTAAAAAAAGAAATGTTTCAACAAATACAAGCAATTACACATTCCTGGGTGTGTCTCCCTTTTTGCAATCTGTAACAGAGGAAAAAAGTGTTGAAAAACAAATAGTTTAGTCTGAGGGACAACCAGACTGGACCTTCACCTGCAGCTCAGGTGTGGCCTTCACAGAGACTGGGGGTGATGAACCAGCCCCATTGTCGCTGCAGGGTCCTGCCCCATGTCTGCCTTGACAGCTCTCTGAGCTCCCCACAGCTGCAGGGACAGGAGATACTGAGATGCCAAGAGACCTCTGCTCAGCCTGGCAGCACCTCCCAGTCCAGCCCAGCCTCCCCAGCAATGTACCTGCAGCTTTTGAGCATCCCCCCTGTCCCTTCCTCCATTGCCACCCAAAGCAGTGGGAAGCAGCCTGGAGAGCTGGTGAGCCTTATCTCCCCCAGCTGCTCTGAGATCAACAGCACTACCCCAGAGCAAATCTGATATCACAAGTGAGTAATGAACTGGAGCTGGGCTGTAATGATTTTTTTTTTTTAATGTTTTTTTTACGGCTGGCTGTCGATGCCCCAGCTAGATCTTAAAAAGGGTTTTATTGTTCCTAGAGCAGAAATACAAGAGAGTGCTCTGCATCTGTTTACCATGCAGAAGGGTCAAAAATGGCTCTTCTTCCTCTGGGTCCCTGCAGCTTCTCTAGCAGAATTAAAAGACACATGCGGAGCTTCAGCGTCAGGGTGAAGAAGAGAGGGAACAGAAGAGAAGAGCCCTCTGTTTCATCCCACCTGCTCTGTGATGGTGACTTGCCCTGAAGAGTCTCAGGAAAATCCTGTGTAAATGGAACATAAATGTTTTATGAATTCAGCCCTGGTGGAGTAAATTAAAGGGTCATTAATGGCCTCATTAAAAAGCTTTGCACTTTGTTCTGAATTATGAAAGCTATCATGCAATGTTAAACTAAATGGAGTTTTCGGCGAGATTTTAAAACTCTTTAACTAGTTCTCTCTCCCCCTCTGTCTCTATTCTCCCCTTTCCTTTTTTTTTTTTTTTTTGGTCTCTGAGAAATGTCTTTCGAGGGAGCCGCCTGTAGTGCTACAAACTAGATTTCAATTATAAATCTTCTTATGCTCCACTAATTGCCCAGAATTTTTCTCGAGAGCTGCCTGAGGTTAATGCTGATGAAGAAAGAGCCCTTTTGTCTTTTCTTGAAACGGTGCTTCCCTCCCCCATCTCTGATGAGACGTCAAGCAGGGAATTACCTACAATGACACCCAAATGGGACGTGGAGAGCTGCCATGTGGGAAGAAAGACAAATTTGCTGTGGATTTGTCTTGGCTTGCTGGGGAGAAGCCTTTGCCTAATCTGGCATCTCCTGAGGTGGCTCTTGGTGGACCCCAGCAGCCTTCCCTGGCTCTGCCTCTGTTGGCAGCCAGGCACCAACCCTTTCCCTTGCTGGGAAATCAGCTGGTGCTCAGCGGGGTCAAGGAGGCATATCTGGGAAGCCAAGCCTGGCCACTGCGGGCTCGATAGAGCCTTGTGTTAAATTGAGTGGTGCTGGGCCATCAACAGGGCTGCATGACAGTGCCTGATGGGGAAGGGGAGTGGAGCAGGGGTTAAAGATCTGCCAGTGCAGTCTGCGTGTCCATATGTGTGTGTGCAGCTTTTTCCATCAGCCCTTTGTGTTTTAATAGGCTGCACCAAAGGGTAGGTCAGGTCTCTGTCTTTCTCCTCCACCTTGCTCATCTCCATCTAAGAGCTCACCCTTAACAAGGTCTGGCAGAAACCAGGGTTGTAAGGACATTTCTGAGAGCTATAACCCCCGGTGAGCATCCTGGCTGCCGTTGCAAGGTCCTTGTCCCCTGCCCCAAACTTGGGGATGAGGAGTGCTGAAGCCTCTTCTGCAGCATGTCAGTGACTCCGCGTAGAGACCCATTTTACAGCTTTTTTAATGTTGCTGTGGATAAAGACTAATTGCCGGGTTGTTGTGGATCAGACAGGAGCTTGCTGAGACAGTGCATGCCCTGGCCAGTTGCTCGCTGGCCAGGCTGGCCAAAGGGAGTGCGTGTTGGGGGACCAGGTCCTGCTGCTACCACTGGGACAGGGACGTGGGAGGTAGAGGCACCGTCCCCAGGTGTACAAGCCAAGTGCACTTGGAGATAAAGACTTTGAAATATGTATTCAGGAGTCAGCATCTTCATTGCCAATGGGTTTGGGCATATGAGAATAAAGAGCTGTCTTCTGGTCATCTCCCTGCTTTTGTCCAGTGCTGGGGGGATACTGGGAGCCCCACATATCAGTGCAGAGAAGGACTAGAATCATCTTGCTTGAG